AACGCATCACGTAGGTATGATGATATCTGGCGGGGTTCTGAGAGATACTGATGGCTTCATGCAGATGATCGTGGTTTATATGTACTGCATACTTGGTCGATACTTTTCAAGCTATAATGAACCTCTCAATCCAGCCTCACAGTCTCCTACACCAAAGACTCAGTATGGTCTTTGTAATGACTCCCAGTCTAATGAAGCTATCCATGCGGATCGTCTATGCTTTGAGTCCCGGAAATCATCTGTTGTGATCAAGATCTGGCAATGACGTGCTATCAGAAATTGAAGTCCAGGTTGCACCACCTGGCCTCTATGCATAACGCTCTAGAACTTACTGCCATTCGATTCACCTATCCCATCTAGACCACCTATTCTAATCACATGAGTGGACCCACTTGCTAGGCGAATTCCGTCCATCGAGAAAGCCGATGCGATTCGGTACTAGGCCAGCGATAAGACAAGACGGACCATTCTGTGATGCATTCGAGGGATGCATGACCTCTTGCGCATTGACATGATGGAACAAAACTACAACTCGCGTGTATGACTCTGTTTCCTCAAGCTGACCAGACGGTCGAATCAAAGGCGGTCAAGCTTAAAAATCAGTAAGAATTTTGAGGTTTGGACATCCCGGTTTGTGCTTCAGACTGGTGCGTTTGTAGGTGTCACAGCCAGAAGGTCCCAGAAAGCTACATATCTCGGAAAGGAGATTCTGAAGGTCTCTACGCGTCGCTAAATCTGCCATAGAAGTGGAAGAATCTAGCTCATGTTTCACTTCTCGAGAAAGGCGTAGGATGTCCGGATCTTGTTCACAAGGAACATTTGCTTTGTCTAATTTCACTCGAAATATTCTCACACATCTCGCAGTGAGTATCTCGTCGTCTGACTCTGGATCGATAGGAGTTGCTGGAGACTGACTTTCTGCTGACATATTATCTGTGGGTTGAGCGCTTCGCGATAGAGGCATCTGTAGGAGTTTCGAGTACTTTATGACAAGCCTTCGCTGGAAATCGGACAAGAAGAAACAAGAGAATAATCACTTCCAAAACACGAAGAGATGATTTGTCCGACAAATTATACCCTGGCAGAAAATCACTAGATGCGATCTTGCTATCAACCTGAATGTCATGATACTCAAGCTTAACCTGAACGCGATCAGTAACTCTCTCGTCAACATGACAATTGTCGTAATGCGACGCATCTGTGTTTCAATGTGGGTCCTTGACCGCACGCCTGATTGACCAGAATGTACTAGTCTATTCTTAGTACAGATGACATAGTAATCTATCGCGAACACCAAAAGCCAGGGAACTTTTGTGCGAAGTAAAGCATGGTCTAGCTATCGCTAGTGTGGGACCAACCATAGGCTATCGCCGCGACCACGTTGCCATATTTAGCTTGATCAAAAGATAGCACTATGTGTTCTTTACAATACCTTTGGTATTGATCAATTCGTTGTGTCACTCTGTGGTCTGGATTATTTGATCTGCGTGAGTCATGGTGCCGAGATCGAAGGCAGACCCCCTGTCGGATTTAGCACAAGAGATTCCACTCACTCACATAAGTCTAGAGATGCCGTCCAAAGAGGATTTTCTAGTCCTTACAGATCACTTCTAGAACCACGAATATCAAGTGAACCAAAGATTGGTTGTTGAAGCGGTCGGGAGTAAAAAGTATTCAACTCAATTTCTCATCTGGACTGTTTTCGGAGACGCGTATTCCATCGTAGCGTCCCCTGTGTCAGCTATCCCGTACACATACTAAGTAAGTAAATTTGCAACCGGTGCGTCGTCGCATTGCAACTGAACTCTGCATCAGAAGGCCGTCTCGAGACCTGGAGCTTGCCAAACAGATACATACGTCAAAGAAGAAACAAGATGACAGAGATTACTGTTGTGCCTGGTCCAGAGTCCTGCCCTTGGATTACACAACATACGCATAACACGAGATTCGACGATAAAACCACGTCAACCTCTCATACCTGACGAGCTATAAGTGACCGGGCCAGATCTAGAGAAGATCACCCAGTCCAGCTTTTTCCGCATCAAGATAATGAGAACTAGCCTTACTCATCTCCTCTCAACAGCAAGCTTGGCTCTCGCACTTCCTTCTACTCCAGACTACGTAGCGAACGCTACAGATATCGGATCCGGATACAGAGTCAAGTTCTCGCACAATTGCCCTGCGACGACGCAGGTGTTTCCACATTTTCTAGTGACTAACGGTACCATCTGTGCGAAGCAAGACAACTTCGATCAGTCCAGTCAACCGGGAGAGGTCCGTGAATATGCGCTAACATATGGATTGGAACATCAATCCACTTGGACTTTTTGGATCGACAACAAAGCCAATAGCACTGGACCCAATGCTAGAAGTTTGGTCGAGGTCACTTGTTTGCCGTATTCGGGTCATTGCTATGTGGACATCAGTAATATTGATGCGGTGAGTAATGGTTTCAAGGTGGAGATGGATGCAAAGAATTGTTCGACTGTCGGGCCGCCTACGAAGGTCAGTCCGACCTGTGATCCACTGGTTTGCAGCATTCCTCCAGATTGGACATGTCCCGTTGAGAATCGTTTTGGTCAGGATTCCAGCAAAGGATATCCTCCCACCTACCTCGATGCTGCCCAGAGCTGCTTGTCGAACTGTACCCTCTTTCAAACAGACGAAGCCTGCTGTAAGAACGCAAACAACACCACGCAGACCTGCACAAACCAGAATCCAGCACTACGAGATATGTGCGAGAATGCATACTCTTATGCTTTCGATGACTCACGCGCATCGTATGTCTACCAACTTACTCTAGATGGAGATACCGCGATTCACATCACGGCCTGTCCTTGACGATCAAAAGAACTGTTGCCGGATGGGAATCATGTATCCTTGGACTGTATTAATAGAATACTTCCCTTCCTGGTGGTCTGTCATACGCGGATCTCGTTTTCGTCCCAGGTACAGTGCAGAGGCAGGCACTCGTTATTCGGGGATCACCTGTATGTATGCGGCATAGATAGATGGATTGATTGATATTATTGGGTAGCTAAACGGCTTCTCTTCGACGGTAGTACGTTGCACTCCTCCATATTCATGGTACAAATGCTTTTGTCATGAAGCTGAGTTTTGCCATCGTGAGCGTCTTGATAGTGATGCCGATAGGACTTTCGACTACGCTCGTGTTGATAGTATGTATTCGAAGACGTTAATCTGAACCAATCGAGCAGGATGCATCCCGCTAATGGTGACTTGAGTAGTACAACACGTTAGAGGAACTCCAGATATACATTCACCGGTGTTCAGATCGCAATCTAGAACTTCACTACGAGAGTCGAGGAAATGAGGCTCACTAGAATTCGTAATAATGAAATGGGTCAGAAGCCCACATCCATGAGTTGAGAAGAAGTTCTACGGCAGTCAGAACTTCTGAATCACCCATGATGCAAGTCCCCTTTCTGCACACGCCCCGTTGAGAGAACAAGTCGGTTCTCGTACTTCAACCCGAACATCGATTCAATGCGTATTGGGAAAAGCTGTTTGCTTGCACTGAGACAACAGAAGATTTGCTGGAAAGAGATCAATTGGTTTATCTTTTTCCGAAGTGAACAATCGATCCAAGAACCATCATAATCAAGGTAGATGATGTTTGAGAGGGTCACGCTGAGCACAATGAGCAAAACAGATCTATGACTACTGTGTTGAGACCGAACTGTTGTGTGGGGTGACGAGTGGACGAATCGCACGATAGCATACTATACCTTCCGTTTGGCCTAGATGGCGCACTATTTCGGCATGACTAGAGCGATTCTGAAGCCTTGTATTTGTTCTTCCTCGTTCTTGGCTTCTACCACACAAGTGAGGAAGCTTCTTTTGTATGTAGGATCCATTTGTGCTAGGATCGTCTGGAGTTTTGTCCGTTTCCCAGGGTGGCTATAGATCCAAGCGAAGTACATATCCAACCAGAGGCGAGTTAATCTTTGGTCGCTGTAGTAACTTGTCGATCTTACATGTCGCAGCAGCTTGATGGTAAGAAGTTCATCCGCATTTGGTCCTATCAGGGAGCGTGGCTGACTGTAGTCTAGGAATAGCTGTGTGTAGCATCCTTCCTCAAGCTGCTCCACGAGATCTCGAGCAACAGACAAGTTCATTGCCCTTTGAACTGAGTTGGTTGCGAAGGAAGACATCATGAATGGTTCGGGATAAACTGGGATAGAGATGGACTTGAGACCCCGCAACTCACGGATGAGCTCCTTGATATTGATTGTCCTCAGATTATAAGCTAGCCGATCCACGAGGTGGACATGATAGATGTATGACCTTGCGGTCCTTGTCAGATCTCGTATGGCATCTGCGTCACGGATGTCAAAGCAGAAGTTGTTCGCGCTTCCAAAAGTATATGCAACCTCTGAAAAGGTATGCTTCGACAACGTCAAAAGATCAGGGAGGACGGATGAAGATTGTGTCTGCTTCTCGGCTCTCGGGGGAGCTGCAGCACCAGGTGCGGGCAAAGTTTCCGACTGTTTGTGTTGAACGAATCTGAATGTTTTATCACTCGGGAGCAGAAGGCTCCAGATCATCTCACGGATCTCAGTCGGAAGGCGGAGATAAGCCATTCGACGACCAAGAGGAAATTTCAAACTCGCAGTAATAGCGGTAACCTGCATATTCAAGCTTATATTTTCTTCCAGATGTTGAGTGTGATTTTGGATGTTGTTCACGTCATTTATTCAGGACGTGACACTGCGCTCAGAAGACCTCCACACCGGACGGTCAATGAAATTACAATCTGGCGAAGATGGTCATGATGTTGCCGTTATCGTCTGTCTCACTCGGTTCAGCTTTACGAAATGATCATTAAAAGCTGCTCATCAAGGTTTCTGCGCTGGTGTCTTGATGGATACGCAAGAGAAGACACGTAAGGCGGTACTATAGCGGGTCCTATGTAAAGGGCACCCAGGCCTCCCTAAGAGCAAGTTCAGATAAAAACAATGGGTCAAGGCGGCGTAGCCATGCGCTTCCTGATCTTGCAAGCGATATTCACTATCGCGAACACAGCTTTAGCAAACTATCAAGGGTTCAACTATGCAGCGCAGGGAAACGACTACGCGTCGTTCCACAACCAGTTTTCCTTGTCAAGGTTCCTATCCGAGAATGGGACTTTTTCTAGTGCTAGGTTGTACACAATGATACAGGAAGGCACTGACACCTCCGTGATCGAAGCCATTCCTGCGGCCAAAGCTACCCAGACAAAGCTCTTACTGGGCCTCTGGGCGTCCGTAGATGCAGACAGCTTTTCGAAAGAGCTTCATGCTCTGGATTCCGCCATGAATACTTATGGACAAGACCTGAGAGACATCGTCATCGGTATCTCTGTAGGTAGTGAAGATCTTTATCGTTCGTCTGTACTTGGGGCCAGCAAGGATAGTGGTGCTGGGCAGGACATATCTGTCCTGCTTGGTTACATTCAACAAGTTCGAGACAAGCTGGAACACTCAGTGCTGCATGATATCCCAGTTGGAGTCAGTGCACTCACTTGGACTAGACGTCGCAGACTCATGCTAACCCATTCGCTAGCACGTAGATACTCTGGACGCGTACACAAACCACACTAACAGTCAAATTTTGGAGGCTGTTGACTTCATAGGACTCAACATCTTTCCCTATTTCAATCAAGATCAAGCGACAAGTGTGGATGCTGCAGCCGACTCCTTTTGGAAAGCCTACGAGAGCATGCTACCTTTATCCCTGGGTAAATCGGTATGGATCACGGAGACCGGATGGCCAACAGTAGATCCCTCCAAGACAGGCGGAGCAAGTCCCGGTGTTGAGAACGCTGCAAAGTACTGGTCGAAGGTGGCCTGCGAGCTTCAAGCTCGCTGCATCAACTTTTGGTGGTATATCCTGGCAGACCCTGCCCAAATGCCGTTCTTCGGCGTCACTAATCTGCGGGAAAGCCCATCAGGGTCGGCTCTATATAATCTTGACTGCGGGGGAAGCGCAAACTGTTCCAACACTCGTACAGCTGCTTCCGTATCGATGACGAGCAAAATCTCGACGTTATATCAGACGTCGAATGGTGCAAGTCCTGCGCGCTCCTCTGTTTGTTGGATACGGGGGCAGAGTCACTGCAAGAATCGCTGGACTAAGGTAGACTATGCAGCTGACTCTGTAGACACGATTTGTCATATACATTGAATACAAGGATATGATTCTGTACCGGTCAGTGTCAGAGTGGGTCGCAACATTCCGTTCGGCTTCCGCCTTCAACAGCAGCGAGCTTCGGACACTCGTTAGCAATCATTTGCTCCATTCTGAAGCTTGGGTCAGCCGGCAGCAGCTCCATCATGGTGTCCGTTAGTGGACAGAATACTCTTGTCAAGACGACGAGTAACACTTGTAGATTGGGCGCCCGTATCAGTGTCAGGAGGTTTGTGTCGTACTAATATAGCTTTAGCGGATAATTCTGGCTCGATCTGCGGTCTTAGCTATTGATGTGTTCCGGCGCACGATACAAAGCACCAGGACAAAGAAGCGATAAGACACGTGGAGCTCTTTCTCCACACAAAGACTGGAGCACGGAGGATGGCGCTAAGCTGGTTTGGGCGATAGTTTCTTACGCGTAATTTATATGGGTACTCTCTGGCCCACTCAGGCTTACTGAAGAGCAGCACGTATGGCATGATCGAGCTCAATCCCTTGACTTAGACTTAAGACGTATTGAACCCTGGAGACTATTAACAATCCAATCTCAGTTCGTGGATAGTTACCGAGGTCGCCGGTTCCCAGCAGGTCGGTTTCCCACGGGGCAGAATATGCATTGCTGTAAGCGAACAAAGGTGTAATACTGCTGCCGCGTGTTCTTGTTCTACACCTTCTACTTCTGGGCGCCGGTGAAACATATTCATTGTGTGATGGTTCTCATATGCACTCGATACGCCCGGGCCCCCTCACAGATTGTGCCATCTCTGTGAGAGCCAAGGGCAGCTAGCCTGCGATCTTTATGACCTGAGCTAAAATAACATGGAGAGTTGGGTATCCTTTTTAGGAGCTGTTAGCTAGCCAGCTGGGGAAGACAAAGATTACGATTTGATACTTGTGTTCGCATGGCGAGAGCCTTCAACACGGAGCAGAATGGAAGACGAGCAGTGGCTATACCTGTTCCATGAGTAAGAGATGGGAAGTGGAGTATTGGTATGGTTTCAACGATAGGAAGTGTCGTTGCTCAACGAAAAACGAACGTCTCTTGTTTTCTGTAGTATCGGCTCCCGTATGGCACGCTTGTGGATGTTGAATCTTGACAGATCACAAATTTGCGATTACCACTCGTCCGACACATACGATGCTCTGGGGTGTGATGCAAGGCTATGTTTTTTTTTCTGGCTCGAGTCAATCAAGACAACTCGTTCGGGCGATCACACATGGGAGATGATCTGAGCTCAAGCTCGATGGCAGCGTCGCGGTGACTATCGCCAGTGATATATGGTTTTCTCTCAAGGCTGCAGGCCTCTTCTGGA